AGCAGGAAGAGCCAAAAACAATGGATATGGAACTAAATGGTTTCTCTCTGCCTGTACACATCAGGGATTGAGATATGCTGAGAAAGTTCCTTCAGTTTTAAAGTCAGCATCTTTCACAACAAGGCCAGCTGGTTAAAGGAAAACTGCTTTCTGAAGATCCATTGTACTCAGTTGGATTAACCAGCATTTGAATTTAATATGCCCTTGATACAGGCATATTGATACATATTTTGTTATTAACAGGCAGGTGTATTTCACCAATATGAAGATTAAATACTGCTCATCACTTCCCAGAGATATCAGCAGACTGTATAGTTCAGCATATGCAAGAGCGCCTCACATTGCTGTCCACTTACCAGAACAAAAATTGTTTTTCTTGAAAAAATTTGGCTGAAATACCTAGCTGCTAGCATAGTCACAGGAAAAAGGTTACTTTTAATCACTACCCAATTAAAATGGTTAGGTTTCTGAACATGTGGAAAAGTGGGTAATACTACTGTTGACTGAAATACCGGAAAATCTTACCAGCTGTTATTTGCTCTAGGTTTCAGCAACTTTTGCGGCAAGTTTAGTGACCAGCCCTGCTATTGGTGCCTACCTTGGTCGAGTCTATGGAGACAGCTTGGTTGTGGTCCTGGCTACAGCAATAGCCTTGTTGGACATCTGTTTTATTCTTGTTGCTGTACCAGAATCGCTGCCAGAGAAGATGAGGCCAGCATCCTGGGGAGCGCCCATTTCATGGGAACAGGCTGACCCTTTTGCAGTAAGCTATTTAAATACAGAATATTTTGGTATTCATAAACATTGAGCTTTTGCGACAGGGAAGAGACTGAATTTACTACATTTCAAGCTTGAAAAACAAAGCCTGTATTTTTTCAAGTTTAACTTTGAATTTCTGCTAATACTTTTGCCAACTGTCTTGCTAAACACAGAGGGAATGTTTTGGCAGTACCACATCACAGCTTCATTACTGACATGCCTTTCAGGTTCTTGCTAGGTATGCTTTTCTGAATGTGAAGATGAAATGTTTATAATACTTTTTTTTCTTGCTGTAGTCACTGAAGAAAGTCGGCCAGGACTCAATTGTGCTGCTGATCTGCATAACAGTCTTTCTTTCCTACCTCCCAGAGGCAGGTCAATATTCCAGCTTCTTCCTATACCTCCGACAGGTAACTTCATGTTTTGCTATGGATTTGAACAAAAGTAAATTTATAGGAAAGTTTTCAGTATTGCTGAATACATACATAAAGTATCGATAACTAGTATAATTTAAAAGCTTCCAGGAGCTGATTTAAGTCCTCTTGCTTTTCTGGTTTTGTCTCTTTTTAGAGAGGCAAAAAGAGAGGAGAGAGATGAATGTTAAAACAATTGCTTGTATTTTGTAATTATTTGCATTATTCTTGGACTATGAGGTTCATTGTGTTAAACTGGAGGTTTTTTATGTTTTGAGGGAACCATTTATCTATTTTCTATTTTATACCCCCTTATTTTTGTATACTTGTTTGATATAATAGAGAAAAAAACCCCAACGAACTTTTTTTTCTACGTTAGGGAGGAGTTGAATACTACTGGTCTTCTGCATTGTGTTCCCCCACTGATATTTGTGACATCATGATAAATGGTTTATGGTTAATAATCAAATTGTCTTTTTTTAATATAGATAATGGGATTTTCATCTGAAAGTGTTGCAGCATTTATAGCAGTCCTTGGGATTCTTTCCATTATTGCACAGGTGAGTTACTGCTGTGTAGTTCACTGATGGGGTAACTTTGGAAAGAGCTGAGCACTGTGGAGAACTTCCATAATGCTGTGGTTCCAGAAACGTGACTTGCCTTTTTGTAGGTGTTTTTCTAAGTCTCTACCAATTGATTAACACTCCAACTGAGATGAACAGAAGCTTGCCAGCCAGAGTTTGCTTCATTCATATCCAAAGTGTACTGCGTTGGGAAAACTACGTACTTTGTGCACCAAAGAAGGGGTGGCAGTTTATATTACTTGCTAAAGTTCATATTACTTGCTAAAGGATTGCTATTTGTTTTGGTAGAGGTTCCTGAATACTTGGTAAATGCTGCTTTTGGACAATTTTACTTGGCTTTTTAAAATTAACTTATTTGCCTGCATGTATTTAATGTTTAGAATAAAATGTTATTTGTCTTTGATTAATTTTTTTTCTTTACTTCCCTCCCCATCAGACAATAGTTTTAAGTTTACTTATGCGGTCCATTGGAAATAAAAATACCATCCTGCTGGGCCTAGGATTTCAAATACTACAACTGGCGTGGTACGGCTTTGGATCAGAACCATGGTATGTACATTTCATTCTAATACCTGAATGATACGGTATTATTCTGCATTTTTATCCTTTATCCAAGGGAGACAGGTAAGCGTGTGTATATGTATATATATATATACACACACACAGGCATACATACATATATACTCCAATCACAGATCATCATCCATGCAGAACAGTTACTTTGAATCTGTGTTTCTTGCAGGATGATGTGGGCAGCTGGCGCTGTTGCAGCCATGTCCAGTATTACTTTCCCAGCCGTAAGCGCACTGGTTTCACGAACTGCTGATGCTGACCAACAGGGTAGGTTTTGTCCTCATACTTTGAATTCTAGTCAAAGAATACTGTGAAGACAGACATATCAGGCTGTCCTCATAGTGCCTCAATCTTGGCACAGAGTAGCCAGTACACCTGAGCACATCACAGAATGTTAAAATCCAAGTTACTTGGAAGTTGTAAGAAAGATGTGCGTATCGCATCCTTCTGGCGCAGAGGGAAAACATTCAACAGCAAAATATTCAGCCAACTTAATATGCTGGTTATTTGCCTCACTTGTGACAAAAGTTTGCCTAGTTGTCCAGGCTGCATGCGGTGCTTTCTCTGCTGCGTTAGACAGTGATAGCAAGGGTACTGTGTATATATACTGGTCTCTGAATGAGCATAGCATGGGAAGTGCTACCCTGTGCCTACAGGGAGAGGCAAAAACCCTTGCATATACTCTAATAATTGTTCTGCACCCCTTGGTTACTACTACTCATAGTGCAACACCATTTAGAGAAGCTTTCCTGCTTCATTCAGTTTGAAGGTGAAGCAAATAAAGTCTTACGGATCTGTTCATAATCCATTAAAAAGTTAATTGTCTGTGTATAAATCCAGCTAGATAACAGTGTGTGTTACTTTTCCCAGGTGTTGTTCAAGGGATGATAACAGGAATCCGAGGACTGTGTAATGGTTTGGGACCAGCACTTTATGGCTTTATATTCTATATATTTCATGTTGAACTGAATGAACTCCCCATGCCTGAATCACCATCAGGAGGTAGTGTGGTCACGCAATACCATTTACAACAGGTATGCTTCTTTTACCTAGTCATTCCAAAAAAAAAGAAATTAGGAAGGGATCATGTGCCTACCAGTTCTTGAGTATGATGCTGTATTATATTTTGTTATGCTAACTAACTAACTGTAAATGAAGCACGTAAAAAGAGGTTCTAGAGATTCTTGTGTCACTGTTGGGGAGGGTTGTTGATCTGTTTGGTTTAACTAGAGGGCAGGGCTTAGTTTAATTTTTGATACAGCTGATAGTAGTTAGACAACTGATGACCCTTGTAAAGAGAATAGATGGAGGGAAGGATGGACTAATCACTGCACCAGCCCATTCTTGTCTTCCCAACACTGTATTTACTTTTCACATGTTGTATGGGTTTGTTTTGTTGTCCCTTAGTCTTTTAAGTAAAGTAAGCTCTCTGTATTTCTTTTTAGTTCCCAATAGATAGTAACTTGTTGAGGAAGCTTGCAGTAGAGAAGGAAGTTGGCAGGCATTAATAATAAGATCCCTATCTTAGGATGTAACATTCTTGCCATATTTCTTTTAAGAGTCCACATTGGGACACTGTATTGGCTCATAGAGCAAGAAAATGTTATTCCTGCGGTGTAATTAGCAAGTGTAGTCTGTTAACACATGCCTTGAAGGGTTAGTAATACCTTGTGGTGTTACTGTTGTTTGCAGAATTCTATAATTCCCGGACCCCCATTCTTATTTGGAGCGTGCTCTGTGCTGTTGGCACTACTTGTTGCCTTGTTTATTCCTGAACACACAAACCTAAATGTGCGATCCAGCACCTGGAAGAAACACTGTGGCAGCCATGGGCACCCCCACAGCCCACAAGCTCCTGGTGAAGCTAAGGAACCATTACTGCAAGATACAAATGTATGACAAAAATCCAGGAAGATGGCTTAGACTTTTTTTTTTCCTTCCATCAGCGGTTTGGGATACACATTCCAATTGCATCCAAAAAATGTCATTTCTTAAGGTAATCTTAAGAAGTAGCTTTCTGCATGAAATTTGTACAATTAAAAAAAAAAAAAAGTTTCTCCAAAGATGTTGCCATTGAATTAATAATTTGTTTTTCAAAACAGTTCTGTACTTGTCTCTTGCCATGAAGTACCATTACTATTAACTTTACACTCTAGTTGAGAGACAAAAAAGAAGAGTTGAGGCATGAGCATGTGTCCTGTTTCCTTAAGGTGGTGAGCTTTAATTCTAGTCACGCTAAGTCTCAATGAGACATACTAGCATCCATGTGGACCCATTCATTTTAACGTTGTAAAATTGTGGGTCAGATGATTCAAAGCCTTAATGTAAATGTACTCAAGTAGGGAGAAGGTGAATTGGTATCATTTTAAAAGTCATATGGCAGGTGTTGTGTTTTTTTTTTTTTTAGTTTGTACTAATATAAAAATCACATGAGCACGCTTACTGAACAGTAAAAGTTATTTTTTATGTAAGTGCATTTACTCTTTCTATTTTTGAATAAACGGTATATCAAACACTTGTTTAAATATTAAGTGGGTGTTTTGAGCCTACAAACTTTAATATTGGCTCTCAAAGTCTGCTTTCCTAAGTACCGTTTATTATACCACTATATTTCTGATGTTTGCGTAATCATAAAGGACCTCAAAACTTGAATACACAGACTGAAATATAAGCTGATAGCCTTGAATATGTCCGTGTGCTATATAGTGGCCTTTGAGGACTGTCACAATAACCCTTTTGCATTACAGAGCTAATGTTTTAGTCCTAAATTTTCAGGACCCTTAGTACAGAAGAGAGCTTTATACAATTACTGATGTGAATTTCTCTAAAAGTGTATATTTTTGTGTCCAGTTGTATTATTTAAGTGTTCCTTTGTATAAATTTGTGTATAAAAAGTATTGTATAGGTTTAAAATGTTTTCATCTTGTGGTTATTGCTTAATGCTTTTTTACCTTTGAACATTCACCATGGTTGACCAAGAGCAGGAAAAAAAATATGTAAATATATTGTTAATAAAGTTGAATATTTTAATGAATTTTTAAATAATTGTTAATGTCTCTTAAACCCTTGATTGAAGGGCTAGATAGAGTGTGTGTTATACTTCAGCAGGTGGGAAAAGAAGCAGGCTGGAGTACAGAGCCAGCACTGTGCTCTGGTGTTAGATAAGGCTGCCTTGAGCATGGTGATGCCCTCCCTTCTGCCCCGCAGCACAGGCTGGCTGCAGCTGGCTGCTCAGTGGATCTGCTCCTCTGCTTGTGGATCTGTTGGAACCAGATTGGGACAAAGACAAGCTCCAAGACAAGACACAGGTCAGTAACAGTCACCCTCCAGTACACTGCAGTTCCTGCCTCCCCTGTGTTGCGATGCTGTTAGTCTTACCAGGGCCGCTGCAATTTTGCTTTGGTTTAGATTTGAATAGGACTGGGCGATCTGGAAAACCACCATGTTATACTTACCAGCTTCCTTTTTGATAGCAGCTTCTATATATACACTTCAAGAAAAATAGACCAAATTCACATTCATTTACACCTATTAAAACTTAATTAGAAATAGCAGCATAAGCACAGACCTTAAAGGGGGTGGCTCTCAGCTGGGGACTGCAGGTGCATCATGGTGCTGGTCCAGTAGCACTGCCTGGCCTGGGGACAGGCAGCGAGGAAGAAACCTCTAGAAAAAGGTAAGGTGAATAACACAGGACTGTTCCGGCCCTTAGGCTTGGATGGTTGTTTAGTACCCTTAAAGCATTACTCAGAGTTTTTTGATAAAATCCATTTAATATTTCCATTGAAACTTACACATGACAAAATAAGTGAATATAGATTAACATGGTGCTGATTTAGAAACAAATATACACATTTTGCACTGCAAAACCAACCACTTAAATAAATATACAATCTTCTGGCTGCACTTACATAACTACGGTAAAAGGTATGAAATATCTTTTAACAACCAAAGTAATTAAAAAGTCTATTTTGTAGGTTACAAATACTCGTGTGCCAGTTCTTTATTGCAATGGCACAGAATGAAGTTGTTACATGATTCCAGCATTCAAGCTTGAGTGTTATGAGTATCTTAAGTTTCTGTACAGTCTTACAGTTGTGAAGTATAATTAGTAAAAATAAAGTAGCTTTTAGATGTTGTGATACTTTCAATAGTTAAATGTTCAGCTACTTCACCTTGTAATGTTTTATGCGTGGTGGGCTGTAGAATATAATACTGTCAGATTAACAGAAAAGTCAGGGTAACCAAGAGTGAGAATTTTAAAATATAATTTTATACCTTCAGTGAAATAATTTAGCAACATTAAGTCTAAATGCAATCCAAATAAGCTAGTTCCAAAATTAAGCAAGTTTTTAAAATTAAAACTGTAAGGGAGGACTAGTGAGGCAGTCATGCTAATTTATGAGTTTGACTGTTACTAAAATTGACAGCATCACCCTGTTCTCCAGCACTTTCTACTTCCATCATCCTTTCTCTGAAAGGAGTCAAGAAGAGTATTTGCAAAGAAACATTCTCTTTCTGGGAATGCTAGAGAGTATGTTTCATCTGTTAGAGAGCCACACTCATCAGCAGTTCCTGCAACAAAGAAGTCCGTGCATTGCAGCAGGTTTTTAGGAAGACTACAGAGTACAATTCCACACAGCCCCAGTGACTTAACTACAGCCGTGTTCCCACTAAGGCTGAGGCTGCCTAAAGCTTTGTCTTTTTGTTAGGCTCAAGTATCCTGAAAGTCATTTAAGTCAGTCAAGAAACCATTCTCAAAAGAAAATAGATTAAAAATTACAAAGTTACTTTAGTTCACATTGAGACTTTACATTTTTACAGGACACCCAGAAATCCTCCAGCTGAGGACTCTTGCTTTAAGAATCCTGTCTACGATCCAGGAAAATAAGCTGAGGTTGGCGTTACTGCAGCTTTTGGTGATGGTTGGGCTTTTGTAGATAAGTACGGTTTCAGATACTCTGTAGAACAGCAGAAACGAGATACGGTTCTATGAACAGTAACTATTAATATAACCCTTTAAAATAAGGTCTTGTTTTACTATTTCCAGACATACCTGAGTTGAGTGCATTTTGACTAAGCCCTTGTAAAGGAATGCTGTCATCTTTTTTCTTGAAATACTTTGATTCCAGCCCCAAATTATCACCACTAGAAAGAAAGAGATTAATTATTAAACCAGATGTAAGTTTAGTTAGCAGTACATTAACAGCAAGTGTGAATACAGACTCATCCAGAAGAGTCTTAACTGGAACTGCTGCCTTCCTGTGAACTGTATTATTTAAAGTTAAACCATCAATAAGTAGGTTAAGAACAGTCTGGAACTAATTCTTTGTCTGCCCTCCTCACCTGATAGCCTTAGCTCTGTCACCAGGAGGGACAATGAGCTTTTGTTCCTTGGGCCCCACTGCTGAAAGCAGGGCTCTTCCTTTGTTATCTACAAACCATGCTTAGTGACCCAGTAAGTTTTAAGGTGTGGCAAACTCATGAACATGTTGATGGAGAAAGGCAGATCACAAAACTAGCTTGGTACTGGAAATGTTTTGCTCAGTTCCAGACACACATAGAAGACAAATGGCTTTATAAAAATAATAATAAAGACCCAAACCACTACAATAGATGATACTGACTTCTCCTTATTTGCTGGATGACCAGTTGCAGCCACTGTCTGAACATCTAAACATCGATTCACTTTAGAAAGCTGGCTGTTGAACTGAATCTGCAGAAAACACAAGAGTTGCAGGTTAAAGAGCTACTCCAGGTATGATGGTGCACCAGTAAGTGTATTCAGAGAGTGAACTTTTGGGGGATTAATGTTTCTATACCTTGCATAGCACTTCTGTGCAGCAAAGCATGCAAGAACAAACAACTGAAACCCAAGCATTACCGCTATTAGTCACTAATAGGTAATGTTCAAGACAGGCAGTTTAAGAGTACTAGGATATACAGTCAATATTTACGCATATTTCAGAACTATTCAAAATATTAAGCTTTGATTATTTTATGCTATCACATTCTTAGCCAAACAGACAAGTCAGAGTGCCTGCCTTTGGTACTAGACACTGTGAATTGATGTTTTTGTTGTGCATTGGTTCCAGAAAGTTCTGAAAGGCATACAGAGGAGAAAGGGGATGGCTGATTCCTGAGCTGGGGAAGGATGGGCGGTCAGGCTGCAAGAGAAATAGAGTACATCAGAAAGGAGAAAAACAATTCCTGAAGTAAGATTTTGTTTGCAGAGATTCAAAATTGCAGAATTAACAACCAAACACAATTACAAAGCTAATGCTCATCTGTGTCTTCCTGATGGGAATAAAACATCCCTTTTCCAAGATTCACATCCTTAAGGAAAACTTGTAACTTTTAAAAAGATGAGTTAAGCAGTCTTAGCTAATAAGAATACATAATAATAAGCTACACACTGTAACTGATTAATATATTAAATGTATCTAGCTATAAATCAGAGACCTCTTTGCATGATTATGCCCTTTCACTACTAAATAAGCAGCTCATCAATTGCTAGGTGACAATAGATATCTGTACACACAGGTACACCAAAGGATAAGAACCAATAAGCTCTGGTATTTAACAGAGATAATACGTAATGTTTCTTACCCCCTATTTTCATGTTTCTAAATATCACTAATAACATTCAAATAGTACATTTTCAACCTATACAAAGATAACTTAGATACTAATTAACACAAAAATGCTTTTTTCCTTCACTCTGCATTTTATCTTTTCTAAGCTAATTTTGCATTGGTTTGTGTATTTTGAAAATTCTTTGAAAATTCTCAGCAGGCCAGGGTGTCAAGTAGCACCTAACAGGGTATTATGTGACTTAAAAAAACCCACTAAATTAAGGAAATGACGACTACATCATAACCACATTATTTATAGTTGTATCTTACCATGCCATGAGGTGAAACAGCAGCCCTAACACCACCATGTGTACTGGCAGAAGTCTCTAGCTTCTTTGCCATCTGAATTTCATTCAGCTGTTTGTTTAACCATGTGATTACTGAAGAGAGAAGAAAAAGGTCAAGCTCACTTCCTGCCTCTTGCAAGCTGTTTAAAAAAGCAAGTAACCCTTCCTCAAAAAAAAAGTGACAGCTTGGTGGGCTATTTCCCCTCCTTAAGCATCCCTAGAAGCCCTAGTCTCACAAAAAGCCTTTTTGTTCACGCTTCCTCCACCCCAACATGCCATTCTGTTCCTTCCTCTAGAGTTAGCCCCCACATGCACACCACCCCAGCGACCACAAGCTGAGAAAGTCATCTCTACTTGCAGCTTTAGGTTGTTGCATACTCACTACAGACAGAAGCTGATTGTCCATAAACAATAATCACAGCTCTTCGCAAAAAAGAACACAGGTAAAGCAAACAGTTGCTTCCATTCATTTTCAGGAGCAGCTAGATCACTCCCTTGTTTTTACAGGGTGAGAAATGAAATTGTATAAACCTACCATTTTCATTGGTTTTCAGTAACTGCTTGCTTTCTTCTAGTTTTTGTATTGTAGTTTCCAGCTGTTCCTGCAGCTTGCAAACCTGCAATATTCCCATAATAATACCATCAGGAGCTACTACAAACTGGAGGAAAAAAATGTAATATAAATAAATAAAAAGGCTCTATGAAGTCGTTCTAAAATTAGAGTAGTTCAATTTTTTTTACAAAAGCAGTATGATAATTCTTTTAAAATAAGGCCTCTACTCTTAGCTAGGGTTTCGACAAGGTAAGTCAGAAGCCTTTCTGACCTTAACTTTTTCTATGATTAAATAATGCAAGTACTCCAAGCAGGGGAATATACTTAATGGAAAAAAGTTCACTCTCTTCCTGCTCTTGCCTCTTTCACCAACTTTCACATGAATATATCCTCTGAAGCATGTCTATTCATCAATCATATTACTTTGTACTCAAATAACACAATTTTAGTCTTCTTCCATATGGATGGACAGCAAATCAGTTTAATATGAAAAGAAAATTAAAAGCTGATTACACATTTAAATAAACATGCTAACTAATAAAATAGTATATTCTATTCCACAGAAAGATTTAAAACCTTACTGCTGTGAATAACTAAGTTAAATCCCACAAAACCCAGCACACTACATACAAGAGCATTTACAGGACAGAGGGTGATCCTATTACAATACCTCCTGCTCTTTCATTCGAAGAGATTGTCCTGTCTCCTGCAATTCTCTCTGCTCTTTTTGAAGTCTCTCTTCTTTTTCTGCCAATAGTTTTTCTTGTTGAATTGTTACTGTATTTTTCAATTTTAATTTACTCATTAGAGTTTTCAAATCTCCCTGTAACTTCTTGATAATTTCATTAGCCTATTAAAAAAAAAAAATGAGATAGTCTCAAAATAAAGACACACCTAAAAGCAAGGAAGACATTTCATAAGAATAATGACACATTTAAACAAACCTTAAGAAGTTCAGCTGACAGCGACTTAATTGTTGTCTCTAGTTTTTCAATATGACTTTGTTTTTTCTCTGTACTCTCCTCCAGTATCACCTTTAAAAGAATATTAAAAATATTATAAAAGATATGTGATAGACATGGCGTATGATTTCAAGAACCACCTCAATAATTCTTTGAGAACTAATCCTGACCAAAACTTCAGTCCTTGCTTTTCAAATCACATAGCATCAATTCATCCATTTTTTCATTTATAAAAAGTACCACAATATTAAAACAGTGGTGACCTTTGTAAAACTGAATCCAGTATACTTTTGATGCTATAATTTAGAATCTTTAGCTACATTCAAAAGCTTACTTGCTGTATTCATAAAAAATGGTAGTAGAGACTACAATTAAGAAGGTTCTACAAAGCTTTAGAGAAAATTATTTTTGAAGGAACCTTTTGTTCTTGTGTCGCATCTAATACTTCTTTTGTTCTAACAACTAGCTGATCTTTATCTTTGATCTCTTGTTCCAGAACAGCAACCCGTGTCTGCAGCTGATTAATGAGTTTCTCTTTTTCATGACATTCAGCATCCAGAGTCGTGTTCTCCCGACGCAGTGACAGCACCTCCTGCTTTGCTCTTTGACATTCCTAGAATGTTGGGAAAGAATTTCATTTTAATTCTTTTTAAGAAAACCTGTAATAGCAATTTAAACAGATATTTCTAAACAGCAAGCATAATGTGGAACAAAGAGGAGCTGAACAAAGTTAATATGCTATATTTTCTATTACATGCATAGGCAGGCAGGGTTAATGCTCTAAAATAGTAAGTTTGGTTACAGAAATTAATAACCCATACATCTTCTATTCCAGAAAGCTTTGCTTTCAGTTCTCTGACTGTGGAGTCTCCTTTGTATCTCCTTTCTGTTAGATCTTTATTGATGACCTCGAGTTCTGAGAGTCTGTTCTGCAACTGTTGAATACTTTTCTGATGCAAATTTTCTAATTCCTTTTTCTGTTGTTCCTGCTGTTGTTGGTACTGAGCTTGTGCCTATGAGAAGCAAAGAAACTAAGTAGTTATTCAACAAATCTGAAAATTAAGCCAAGAAACTATACATATATAAGAATATTGCTAATTCTTTTCTGTTGTCATACCTGAAGCGCTCTTTCCTTTTCACTTGTCAGCTCCTGTGTGTGTTTGTTTGTTAGAGCTGTAGTGTATGATGTCCATTCGTTTTTCAGTTTGTCTAGTTCTCGGCTCCTGTCTGACAAGCTCTGTTTGATAAAGCATGTAGAGCTTTAAAAATTTAAGCACTTCAGTCAATACTGAATGATTCTTTACTGTTACTTCTTAAAAAGGACATGGAATTACTAAGAAAAGTCTAAATTTCAGCACCAGATGCCCAAATACCTGTTCATTCTGTAAGGCACCAAGAAACTAAAGAGCACCTTTCTGACACTGTGGATAAAATAATCTTAATTTCCAATTGTATTTTCTTCCAACCACTATCTAAGAGTGAAAAAACAGTCTGCTGACATTCCCTACCCCTGTAACATTAAGTGCTCTAGTAGGGAGGGAAGTTTTTCAGCAGCGTCTTTTCCTCTTTTTTATTTGTAATTCTGCATTCCAATTCAGCAAACACATTCCAGTAACTCCAACTGAAACTGCAAAGATAAGGTAAACAAGTATTCCATTCCAAAAAAGCTCCATAATCAGTTTTAATGGAATGTTTCTGTTTCACAATAGTCAAAAAAGTCACCTTGATAATTCCAGAATTTGACCCAAATCATCCTCTTGAAACACAAATGGGAAGTCATTACTGAGCTGGCCGCAAAAATCAAAAAGTAGTAGAATAACATGAAGTCCAAGACTTCAGATGTATTTATCACAGTTTCACAATTTTTCCAAACATAAGGATTTCCATCTATTTACAGAATATGTAGAGTATATTTATCTTCACACTACCATATATTTAGTATATAATTTGTGCGTGTGTGTATACAGACATAACTCCATACAAAATAAAGTGAAATTCTGGGTTAGTACTGTAAGAACTGAATTTTATTCCTTAGCTGCATGCTTTACTCATTCCTAAGAAAAGCTACATAGACCTCTTTTCTTCTTTTCACTCACTCCCAGGTCAATTATCTTGGCTAGGCAGTGGCTAACCAACCAGCCCACAAGAAGGTACATTTCCCACAGATTAAAAAAAGTGCAACTTATGCCAGGAAAGGTAAAAATTTGCATTACCTGTTGAGTGTAGCTCAGTTGCCTAGTAAGATCCTCTTCAGTTTTTCTAAGCTTTTCTTCCAACACCATTTTGTCTTCCTATGGACAAATTGACAAGAAGTCAAATCCTTAGCTCCCAAAATACAAGTAGTATTTAGCTTCCATTTTATCAGCATACCCTGCCTAAGCAGCCACACCCCCATTATATTTGTGGAAAAATCATCTTATTAAATAAATTTCATACTGAGTAAGACATAATTAATAAATTTAAAACAAAAGGCCTTAGCTCCCATGGTAAAAACCCTGAATTAAATTCTTAACAAGTTTCTCTAAGGAAATAGTACCTCATCATAAAGACTTGTTTACAAAGGACTTGCATGAACAACACATCAACTGAAATACTGTAACTTGATAGTATTAAAATGGCTTATTAGGTGGCTGTAAACATAACACAACAGTAGGAGAGACACCAATCCCAGGCTATGAAACTCAAACAGACAACAGTCCAACTATGAGACTGTTAATTTGTCATTAAATAAAACCTAGCATGCTACCAACTGCACAAACATTACAATTTTAATTTGCTGTTTGTAACTACTAGCCCTTTGAAGTCCATAAAGCCTTAGAATTATATACACACATGTGCTTTCCCAAACCCAACTGCAGAACAAAGACTAAAAGTTTACATCACTTTACTTTTGCAGTTGATCTGGCAATCAGCACAAGACACTGAAGCATTCAGAAGCATTCAACAGCTGCACACTACATGCACTGCATGTGTAAAATACCTGATTTTCTGCCAGTTCAAATTATAGCGCTTCGTTGAATATACACGTAATGCTTTCATTGCTACAATGATGGTAACAATTTAGTTTTATAACATGCACCCAAATAACTGCACGCAATGAAATACATGAACAAAAATAAACCAGAGCATACAGTTTGGTACATACTTTTGAAGTATTAAGACTGAAAAAACGCTTAAGTACACACAGCATCAAGGCTTAGTTGCAGGTATGACAAGCCTTCATTTTACCTTAAGGCATTTCAAACAGCTGGCTAAAAACTTCTTTATTTCTGCGTCATTTCCTGGTAGGAATTTTAGAGAGAGATGGGTAAGATGTTTAAAAGGATTGGTCTCCACTACATTTAAAGAGACAGGTGTGTGATCTAGAACAGATGCTGATGAAACTAATTGCAGCAAAAACCTAAGGAAAACAAAAATAACCAAATGTTTAGCATATTTCTTTTCCCAAAATGACCTGTAGATCTTACAAGCTATTTTCAAATAAAATACATTTTTGTATGTGCAATAAAAGGCTACCCAGTTTTTGAGAGAACTATGAAATTCAATCCCTATGTTGTAGTTAATACTACAAATATCAACTAAAATCCTTCCACCTTATAAGAAGTGTACAAAACTAATCAGTTGGTTTACTTGTAAAAATTTCAGAAGCCCATCTAAGACTTAGGAGTCCAAAACCAAGTAAGGCCTTTGTAACCAAGTTCAGACTCCTGACTTTTAGGTATCCTATAACCTAGTAAAATTCATAGCCACAGTACATCAAGAAACAGCCTCGCTACTGGAGTGGAGCTAGGTACTCTGGATGGGGCTTTCCTCAGTACCCGCACAAACAAAAATGAGCTATGAAAAGGCCACTACAGGGAAGGGTGGCTCTCAGGTCTCCCCCCTCTACGTATTAATATCTGAAGTGAAAGGGAAAAAAAAATAAATCTTGTCATAGTGCCTTATAACTTTGTCTTCTCTTGTGAAACAGAATGATTTACACCTTGTTCCATCAAATTCACATTAACTCTCTACCATTGAACTGTTAAAAAAGGAAAAAAAAATAATTAAAAAGGATTAGTGCACCAGTGCTGCATCCTTCCACTTCTGCTGGTTTGTGAAGCTTGCCAGCTTCAAATCAGATGGGGAGACTGTTACTAGACATCAATTCCACCGCTCTATCCTCCTGAGACTTATGTTTTGTCAGCAACATTCAGTGACCGATACTCTGATGCATCCAGGAGAAGGTTAAATTATTCTTGTTCTACTGACTCTTCTCAGTTGGAGCAGCTGACAAGTATTTTAAGACCTCAACAAACGCGCGCACACACACACTCTCACTAGCATGGCACTCACTTATTACCTACCTTGGGATATCTTTGTTCTGTTCCTGAATGCATTGCTGGAGCAGATCTATAAATTTTTGTGGGAAAGCAGAGAAGTCTACCAAGAGACCTTGCTGCGATTTTAAACTATATAAATAGATTGGAAAAGAAATATTAACAATATATAGAAGTGTAATTTATTTCCTACAAAATATTTCATTTACACTAATAGAAAGAACTAATTCTGATCATATCATTGAAGTTTGCTAGCACATTATTTTCAATCCTGAACACAGTAGAAATGTGATCACGTCTTGAACAATAATTACCAGAGAATATTTTCTTTCAAGAGTTCTTGCAAATAGGCTGCACTAAAAAAACCAGAAGTTATTGTGGCAGAACAAACATGCTGCTTTGCATAGATTTCTTCCTTACAGCACAGCAAGGTTATTGGATAGGGGCACATGGAAGAAGCAAAGGACAATGAGGGGAGACTCAACCATTACCAAGGCTTTATCTGCCTACTTGTTTATTTAAATTGCACACCTTCACCATAGACATAGTAAACTCAGAAACAGATATTCAACACTGTATACACAAAGCCATACCTGTATAACAAAACACTTCTGCACATCTGTTTTACAAATACTATTTCACTTTTGCCTTTTGATCCACACACTGATCACATCTCTTTAAAAACCAAAATGACAAGCCACCAACAAAAAACAAGAAAAAAAATCCCAAACAAAGCAGAAAACTCAATTGTTCATGCCTCGTGCCCAAATTGGATGATCAAATTCTGAGCAAGTAAAGTGAGACCCAACAGTACAATCAGTATGCAAGAAACCCAGAAGACAAAGGCTCAGGTCTGTGAATCCATGTCCATTCAAACAGACTTTCCTCTTGCAATTATTTCTTGAAATAGTTCACACATCTACAGTAGCCTATAAGAAGTAGTTACAATAAACAGAAGATGCAAGTAGTAATATAAACTGTACACATAAACTGTGTACAGCTATGCAGGGAACTTAACATCAGGATTCTGTCATTCATCTATATAATCTTGAGCCAATAACTCTCCTGTTTCACCAACTGGTCCGAGAGAACAATACTACCAAAATACTGACAAAATTCCACAGGTGAAAAATGCCAAAACGGAAATTCCAAGATAGACCATTCTAAGCTTAAAAAAAAAAATTAAGAAAATGCCTTCATTCTTTTTTGCCATTTAGATATGTTTCACAGAGAAGACATTATAATTTCACTTACCTTTGAAAATCTTCCTCAGATATGACAAGGTTATAAAGGAAAAAAGGATCAGTATCATCAGTCAATCGAACAGCTAAATCCTGAAGAGATAGATATTTAAATATGATTTAAAATACTATAAACCACCCTGTAGGATTGTTTAAACATTGTAAACCAATATTACAAAGAGTATTTAATGCTTTTACTGTTTCACCAAAAATAAGATAGAATTGTGGCAACCAATTCGGGTGGAAAACATTAACATTTAACACAACTTTAAATATTACAGTGGGAAAAACAGGAATACTATTTCTCACAAAAATAAACCAAGTAAAAATCTTCAACTTTGAGCAGCAAAGGTTTCAAAATTCAGTGTGCCTTCTTCATTTTACAGAAAGAAAACTATTTGCCATTTCTCTCTATCATGAAATAGAGGGTAGCACTAGCAGTCCACTGTAATGGGTCGCAAACACATCATTCCCTTAACTGGAAGTTTTTCAGAACATACTCCACCTAAGAGTTTAAGAAACCACCTTCTGAAGAGTTTATGTATTTTAATACAGAGTACAGAGCTTCACAAAGCAAACATAAAACGGATACAGCTGAAGTCCAGTCAGGTCGTAAGGAAAATTGCAGCATTATGTTGCTTAGCTTTTAAAAATAAACTCATTTGTTCTCTGGAGGTCTACACAGTGTTTTGGAAAAACTGCCTTCTCTTTAGTCTTTCGCTGCAAGGCTGGGGTTATGCAAAACACCTGGTGCATTAAGCCCAGGCACCTGTTCCCTATAACGAGGCTCAAACCTGTGTGTAGAATATAATATTCCCCAGCAGAGGAAAGAAAGGAAGCAGAAACGCGACAGCTCTCCCAACATAACTGAAGTGTGAACCACAACACATGTACATATAAGAACTGAAACAAGTTCAGTAATTCAAATACCAGTGACACTAACAAAACTCTGAGCTAGAGATGTATAAACAAACTTAAGGACTTACACCTGCAGATAGCTTATGTTACAACTAATGCCACCCCAAACCAACTAGGGCAGGTTGCTGAGTACTGTAAGAATGCCTGATTGGTTTGATGTCCCATTATCTGATCCAAGCATTTGAAATTATCTTTTTAGACTGATCACTCACTGATGTACCCAACTGGATTTCCAGGCTCCAGCTTAGTACAGAGTTCTTAACTGAACTGCTTCTTCATGCTTGTCACAGCAGAGTCTTACCAAAAAATGCTGTATTGTTTTACAAGCAAATCTTTTCTCAATAACACTATAACTAACTAATGACTGATCTTAACATCACGGTAGGTGGATGTACAGTTTAAGTGACAAATTAGACATACAACAAAAAAGATTTTATAGCCTCCAGTAGTAGTCCCATTGCTATTTTTCCTTACTGCAAATTTAGTACATTACTTCCTTCCTACCCCCACTGGATGAATTCCAGATGGTCAAAGACTAACACACTTATCAGTAAGAAACGAAATGTTACATCCACGTACAAGTTGTCATTTTTGCCGGTTAAGATGAGGACTTTGCAAAGACAACTGCTGCTCTACATTCTTAAACAAGCATTGAGTATATATAAAGTGAGACTGCTCTTAAGCTCTAACTCAGGTTCCTCTGAGGGTCTCCAAATACTTTTAATTTGCATGTTCACCAAGACCCATGAACAGCCAAACTAAAATAGAGCGCTAGAAAGGCTAGGAAAAACACACCATACCAAACCAATTAACTTACTCAAAAAATTATATAAAAAATAAAATAAGGTCAAGTGACAAACATACTAAAATCCTACTTTGCTTTTCCTTTATCTATTTATCCTCTTATACAATGAAATTCAGATAATATCTAATGAATGACACAAACATAACTAATCCACAAACCTTTTTATGAACAGGATTAGAAATTGACAGTAGCTCAATATTGACTCGAACATTTAATCTCCTGTGTACAAAAAGGTGAAACTTAGTAACAAATCAAGAAAACATTCTCCAAATAACAGGTGTTTGAAGCACATTACAGGAATCAGATCATATGTAGAAAAAAAATAGGCAGAAATATCGAGAAAGTTCCTATTGATGACTACTAGTAAGATATCTGAAAGCCCCATAGTTTCAGTTATCATTACAGCTCCTCAGTAAGCTCAGGGTTTTTTGTTGCTTGTTATCCACCAAACTTCAAATAACAAGGCAGAAGTTTTAGAACTTTGTCCAGATACTAGAACCTTTGGAAAAGCCTGCTGAAACTTATTAGCAAGCGCTGAAACTTTTGATAATCATTTATACAGTGCTACCTTGTCTTCATTTACTTCTTGTTGAGTAATCCACAGACATCAGCCTTTCTGTGCCATCTAATACAGGCAAACGAAAGTAGCCCTAACACCTGCACACACTGAATAATCCAGATAAGAGCTATATTACTGAAATCCACTATATCTTGAAAAGACATTTTAGATAAAATATTCCTGGGTTTTCCCAAACACCAGGGCTAAGCCATACACACACGCACACGGCTGCGCCCAAATCGACTTACCCCTCGGCACAAACCGATCGGGACGAACGCGTGGGCTCGCCCACGCCACAGAGGCGGTAACGAGGGAGCTGAAATGCTGCAAGAGGCCGCGGTAAGGCCAGCTTCAGGCTCCGAGGAGGAGCAGGAGGAAGAGGAGGCGTGCCTGCCCGCAGAGCAACGGCTGCAGCCTGGGAGACGCGCAAACGCCGGCTCGGCCAGCCAGGCCTGCAGCGCAGCAAGGGCCCGTGCAGGGCCGAGGCAGAAATCCCAGCCCTCATGTCGCCTGCCGGGGAGACGCGTTTGCCCCCGCACCCTTAAAGCGTTTCTATAAAGCACTACGTGTTTTCTCCACTACCAGTACCCCCTCCGCCCTCTCTCCCCGGCAGGGCACCCACAGCAGCCACTCCAGTCCTCACTGACTCCCTCCAGCCTTGCTGCGACCAACTCCCCTTCCCTCTAACCCAGAGGATCCCCCCACAAGCAGCCTCAAAGCAAAACCAAGTCTACTCAGCTCACCACCCGCAATACACGCAGGGCCTCGCCTCTCATCCGCAGCTATTAGGGCACAAGGCAGGAAGAAAAGAAAAGGAAAGAGCCTGTTGCTCGGCAAACCTTCTCCCAAAAGATGCAATAAAGCTTCCACGCAAACTGGTGAGGAAACCAAGCCAACCCCTCACCTCTCCTCGCAACCCTGGCACCTCACTTGCACACACACCGACCGGTTGAACATAGTCTCCGCCGCCATCTTGTGCTTCGAGTTTGGCGCCGGGCTCCTGCGGAGGAGGAGCCTCAAGATGGAGGCGAGGCGATGGCCGCAAGGGGTGCTGGGACGGCAATGGAGGCGCCGGAGACGGAGCACGACTGCCTGGTCCTAAGGCGATGTGCCTACTTTGTGGAGAGAAAGAAGCGTTTCTGCAAGATGATCCCCGCTCCTGGGAGACGCTTTTGCGGAGAGCATGGGCAGCAGGAGGTACCGGGCCTTGCCGGGCAAGCAGCAGGCCCCCTCACCGGCGCGGGTAGATGGGCTCCTGGGGCCAGAGGGGCCCCGGCGGCACCCCGGGGGTCTGGGGTAGCACGTCCGCCTGAGCCGGCCCCGCAGCACGGGCAGGAGAGGCAGTGCCTGCACCTTCCTTTGAGCCCTGGATGTGCTAAGGCTATCGGTTCAGCCCAGCAGTATCACTGCCATTACGTTATAGGTTTATTCTTTTAGGATCCATTTAAGTATTAAATTCTTGTCCTAGTTTCTCCATTCTGTTTAACCCACCTACCTCAGAATAGATGTTTTATGAAACTTGGGTGTCTCTCAACAGCTTTTCTATAACAGGAACACTGAACGCATGCTGAAGTGTTGTCTAAAACTTTTCTTTTATAACTAGGAAGAAAATGACAGAAAAAGAATTCCATGTCCTCTTGATCCAAAACAGTAAGTATATGTAAATGCTTTTCCTGTTCTTTGTCAGCGTTTACATTATAAATGCTGTTACTTACTTCTTTTTCCATTTGGATTTTAGCACTGTATATGAAGACCAACTACAAAAACATTTAAAAAAATGTAATTCAAGAGAGAAGCCAAAGCCAGTAAGTGCAGAGTAAATTCAGCACTACTTCCTCTCAGATTTAAGACCCTAAACATTACAGCTCTGCAGAGAATTTATTGTGCTGACAGCAGCTGTGAACTGGAGGACAGCAGTCTTAGCAAGTACTACAGTAAGGACAGTGTGGAAGCTGAATAAGTACTTGCTGAAATGGAATTCACATTCCACTCTCCTCATCTTCTATGTCTTACCTCACTGTAGTTCAGTACTCTTCAGTTCTCTTCGTTACAAATGAAACTGCTGAATTCGCTCTTCTCAGAGATGTTCCCTAAAAGCAGTCTGTCATGGTGCCATTCCTTTTAGAGGCTTGGCAAAAGCTTGTCCTCAGAAGCAAAACTAGCAGGGAGGCTCTGGGCGTTTCCTACCTCTGGCAGCCTGCTGCCTATGCCAACTGACTGCTTCACTCCAGCTAGCAGTGAATCACAGACAGCTGGGCTGACAATTGCAGCCAGTGCCAGGGGGAAGGAATAGGATGTATGTCTCAACAGCTGTTTGAAGAAAACAGAAGATGGCTTCTTTATTGTCTGGTTTTTTGCCTTACCAGTATCGCACCTTTCGTATTACCTGGGAAACCTTAAAATGGTGTGTGGAATCAGTCTAGTAAGCATTGACAGCTGAACTCTTACAAACATGTTCAATATTGTCAAAATGTGTCAGAACAGTCATTTCTGCTGGGGATTCAGGATCAGACTATAGGCAAAAGAATTACTTGGAATATCTTCTGCTGCAGTGGATTCCCATTACTATGTACCTTATGATAAAAACACTGAAGAATTTAGCTTTTTTGCTTCCTAGTAATTAACAGAATTGGATTTCTTTTCTTTTGATGTTTTTAAAGGTCTACTTTGTTCAAGATATTAATGCAGGTTTCAAAGATGTAGCAGAAATACCAGAAAAACAAGTGAGTACACTTATTTGTTCTAAAGGTCAGTCCCTACATAACATTGCAATTTATTATATGACTAAAGAACTAGAAAAAATAAAAAGGTCTTGTATTTATGGGTGGCACTTTTTTTCCTTAAAAAGGTACCTATCTCTTCTCTATCCAGAGAAGAGCTGGAGGACTTAATTATGAAGTTGAAAAAAGCAAGTAACGGTGAGCTTACTTAATACTGAAAGTAAGATGTTTTAAATTGAATTGGTTAAATATTTCATTTTTTTGTTGTTAGATATCTGTGAAAATCTGAGACATATGGCACTAAACACTTCTGAAGTTAATTATCATCAAGATGTAGGCAATCCTCCAACAGCTAAATTTTACTCAGAAGAATACACTTGAGAGAATGATAAAATACAGATCTTTTGTTCATAAAGCTAATTTCCCTTCCTTTTGTGTTTTTTGTTTCCCACTCACATATCACCACAGATAACAATACAGCTCTATTAGAAACATACAGTGATAGATTTATGCTCCCAACAGGCTGTTTTGTTAGTGCTACAAATTGAGCTTATGTCTGACTATTGTAACATGTATTACAAAACCAGAAGCTCTTGAAACTGGAAACCTACACCTAAAAGGTTTGCTTTTGCATGCAGGCCTGGAACTTCACCTTAAGGAACAAATACTGTCCCACCAGGCTTTACAAGAAGCCTTAAATGACCCAAAGAATGGGGAATCCGCTTTCAAACACTTGAAACAACAGGTATGGTCACTGCTTTACTAATAGCTATAGATGTTTCTATATGTGTGGAATAGTGCTGCTGTAAATGTGAGTGACTGTGCATGCATAATGCTAGTCACTTCATATAGAGGAAATCTGATATGCTCTGTAACTCTGCTGTTCAAATAACAGCATATCTATAAGCTTTGAATGGCTGCTTTGTTAAGTGTTAGTAACGAAAGTTTATTAGGATACTGAAATAAATTACAAATTTTGTGGTGGTGGCCTGAATTTTTAATTATTTAATATTAACTCATAATAAATCTAAGCTACAAAATGTAAAAAACCAGGGCAATTTACTAAGAAGCAAAAGGATTTTTTTACTTTTTCTGTAAGAGCTGGTCCTAGATTTCCTGGTTGTGTAACAGATGCATAAAAAGAATTGAAGAGCCTGAGTTTACCTTCTACCTTTTTAACCTGTATTGAACAGCAAGAATTTTTGAGAGAGATGGATTGCATACTGTAGCAAAATAGAAGGTTTTGGGAAGAAAAATTAAAAAGTGAGAAATGTCTGTTTTCTGTACTTTCTTCCTGTGCTCTACTTTCCTATGCATTACAAAATGTGTAACTGCAGCAGAGAGGGCAGGCTGTGCAGGCACTGATGCTTCACAGAAAATCTAGTACTGTACCCGTATTTTGGATGACTACTTCGAGAATCAGTGGAGAACAACATTGTAATGTGTACCTGATCCCAAAAATCAATTCCAGAAACTTCTGGGTGGAGTTTTGTGAGCAGTGGCAGAAGGACAGGGTTTAGACAGAATTTATAATCCCTTTCCTTTGTACACACAAGATCTTTTCCCTAATCCCTTATGGACGGGAAGACTTTTCCAAGTCTTCTGCAGTTTGGTGAAGTAATCATTTTTGTATCAGGCATCACAATACACAGTGTATATATTTGCTTGGTTCATAAATAATCTTTTGATGTTTGTAGGCTTCTATTTTAGGTAACATGGAAAAATTACATTTACTTGGTCCGGGAAGATGTTTTGTTGAGTTTGGAGCTGGGCGAGGAAAGCTGTCTCATTGGGTTGATGTTGCCTTACAGAATGTTGAAAACGTTCAGTTTTTGCTTGTGGAAAGGGCAACTACACGATTCAAGGTAAGAGAGGATATTGTCACATTAGCAGAGTGTAATTTTTAAACTGTTGTCGTTGAAGCTGTTAGTATTTGCTTTTTATCTTCAAAAATAACATAAAGCCTCTGAAATGTTAGAAGTTTTGGAAGTGTGATTGCCTATGTTCCATACTTTGCCAATAGAAATTTATTAGAAAAAAATCCTGGTGTCTAATGTTGGAAATGTGCTGATGTGGGACTTGACAGGAAAAGTCTGGCATTAATACCTGGAGCAAAATTATAATTATTAGTGGCCAGCCCTACTTAATGATATTGTTCTGTTTACATAGGTGGATGGAAAACATAAAAGGAGAGATTCTATATTTGAAAGGCTTCAAGTTGATATTCAACACTTATGTTTAAGTAAGTTCCTTCTTGGCTTGCGTAATTCTGAAATAGAGGCTTAATTGTACATTTTTGAATACTGGAGTTCAAGTCAACGTGTATGTAGCATGCTTAAAGGTACTTGGTTTTGAAGATTATTCTCAGTGGTTGCTTCAACGCGTTAATGCTCTGTATATATACACACAAACACACACACATATTAAATGGGGATTTAACATTTTCTGCTTTTTATACACTTATAGGACATCATTATAGATGAGAAATACCAAAACAAAAACATTTTGAAGGTTTTTTAGAACTTGCAGGATTAAGTTAGTTTGCAGTGTTTGGTTTAGGTGTGCAGAATGAAGCAAGTCATGCATATCATTGATATGCTATGCATATCAGTACTGTAGAATTTGTGGGAATACTTGTCATCAGGAGATGCATTAATGTCACATTTACATTTCATAGGCAGTATAGAAAGGCTAAAATGGTTAAATAGATAAATGTAACTATTGTAGTACAAATACAAAATCCTATATTTCTAATACTTCATTTTAATAAAAGGCAAAGTATTTATATTACTACTTATCTGGAGCTAATCTCTGGGACACAGATAATTTTATTAAGGAAAATAAGTCCAGTGTTCTCTGGTAATCATTTTACTGCTATATCGAAATGTTGCTGCTCAGAACAAAAATAGTATTGCTTCAAAATAGCATTAAAATACATTCTTTGCCTTAGGACAAGGTTGAGCTGCTTAGAAAAAGAATATGTTTCTCAGTCACAGTACCTGATTCTCTCTTTTTTTTGTTTTGGTGGTTTGGTTTTTTTCCTTGTTTTTTGTTGTGGGGGTTTTTGTGTGTTTTTTTTTTTTTTTTAGAAAAAAGAAACTTTCCTTTTAATAACTTATAACTCTATGTACAGATGACTGTCTTTTTAGTAGTGGTAAACATTTATTTCTCTTTTTAAAGTGTGCTAAAATTGTATTATCCAGAAAAAAGCATTGCCCCAACTATAATAGAGGTTCTAGGGTTGTTGTGGATTGTGTGTGTTTTTCTTTTTTTTTTCCTTTCCCTCCAGAGAAGGTACCTATTTTGGAGAAGAAAAAACTACCAGTGGTAGGAATTGGGAAGCACTTGTGTGGTGCTGCAACAGGTATGAATTATGTATGTGTTAAGTGCAGAAAGTTAGAATACCAACTCTTACAATCTGAATGGAATGATCTTCCGAACTGTCCTGTTAAACTTTTCTTGCCTTCTAACCCTTTGTTGGTGAATGCAGCAATTATTTTCTAAATACCTATTAACTTCAGTGGAATAGTAAATGTATAATAGATGCAAGGCTACTGTAGACAGATGTAAAACTTTTCTTGTTTTCTATAGAATAGAACAAAAAATAGTCTGTGGTAGCAAGGGTCATGTATGTGTAAATGAGTATATTAGTAGTTCCAGAGGTCTTGTAATACTCATTTAACACTTAGGGTTTCATGTTTTCAAAGCATGCTTGTAATTTTTAGTTATCCTTAAACTTGCTTTTTGGCTTAGTTTGTGATGCACATTTTGATTCTTTGTGGGAAGTGCATTCCAACCATGATGGAGCCTGTATAAATAAAGGCATGGTGTTCATCACAATTTATTTTTTTTTTTGTGATGTATCTGTTTTTTCCCAGATCTTGCTTTGAGATGCTTGGTTGAAAGTTATACAACTTGCTGTGATGGAGAACATGAAGAGCCTGCACTAAAACGTTCTAGGACTGATAAGACAGAGGTGGCTTCAATCAATGCTGCTGATAATGAAGGCACCAAAGAAGACTGTAAACCTGTAGCTGGAATTGTTATTGCATTGTGCTGCCATCACAAATGTGACTGGACACATTATGTAGGCAAAGACTTCTTTAAATCAGTAGGACTTGGACCAGTAGAATTTAATTATTTTCAGAGAATGAGTAGCTGGGCCACTTGTGGCATGCAAGAAACCACAACCAAAGTCTCTACAAGTGAAGAAAGTGAAGATCAAACTAATGACACAGAAGAACATGAGCAAACCTTCAGCAAAACAGAGAGTGGTTCTGATACTGTACAAGGGTATGTAATTTTTTTTCTAGCAAATGGACTCCTGCAGAGTACTGCAAAATTATGTACAGTGATATGTGACATCGTTTTGAGTCCTCAAAATGACTCATTTATCAAACATTTTAATTACTAAATTTATAGAAATATGCTACTTTAAAAATACAATTTTCATGGACATATGTTTCAAAATATGTAAACAGTCATGCTTGCCTGAATTGAAATGAACTTACAGTGATTTCAATAGTTTAACCTCTAATGTTAATTAACAAAACTATTCTGACACGTGTTGTTTGTTCTTTTCTTCCTTTTCATGAAACTAGGATACTTACTGTTGAAGAACGAAAGGAGATAGGTTGCCTCTGTAAACTGCTGATTGATCATGGACGGGTTGAATATTTACAACAACGAGGATACAAGGCTGCACTACAGTATTATACAGAGTCTGCTGTGTCCTTGGAGAATGTCCTCTTGACAGCTGTTCCAAGTCCATCTTTGATACCAGAGCCAGCTAAATAACAGGAGATAGATTTGGAATTGGTAGGAGAAAAAACCCTATAAAACATATCTGGATTTTTTAAAAAGCTAATTCATTGCTTGTGGAAAAAAACTGGTTTAGTCTTTCCTATACCCAGGAAAAGGTCTTATATTTCCCAATTTCACTGAGAATTACAAACCAGTTCTCATCAGTGAAAAATAAAATCCCTAAGAATATCTGAAAGCTGTTGTACGCCTCTGTTAGGAAGTATACTTGATATTTTCTTCCATTCACAGTTACATTCTTTATTCATCAGCATTTATGATAGGAGAAGGACCAGAAGTACAACTTTCCAGATTTCCTGAAAGACAATAGGTTACAGTAAGAGAAATCAACATACTTTATTTTCACGTTAAAGTTCAGGATAGCTTTGTATTTCCTCTTAAATTATTTAACTAGGCCTAGGTACTTTGATCAGCCCATGCTGCTAGGGGAATCTGTTAAGGAAGAAAATAATTTAATGGTAAACTGTCACGTTCATAGATTTTTGCTAATTTGAGAAAGCTGCCTTGGCATTCTAAATCAAGAAGAGCATTTCAGTCATTCATTTTTTAAGCCTTCATGATATATAGAATGAGTATCAGAGAGAACATTTTATATCTGCAGTGAATGAAGTTCTCTCTGCAAGTAACAGCTGCCACCTGCACATCTGTTCAAAAGTGCTTATTTTGGTCTCTTATTACAACCTTTAAGCTATTACCTTTGAGACTAACAGCATTTTTTTTTTTCATAGTCATTTAGAAATGGGATGAAATTGGGGGGGGGGTTTGCTTAGGTGACTGGATTTTCTGTCAGGGAAATCAAGTTGTGAGAAATGTCTGTTTATCAGGTGTTGATACTTCATTGCTAAAAAATGGTGTGTGTTGGGAACATAGGCGTCTCTCCCTTACATCCTTCTTTGGTAGTCCCCATCTGGACAACATCCAAAATTAGGGAAAGTTGAGCTTCATGAGACCAACAGTGCTGGAAGACCCACCCACATTGTGTAAGCTGTCACTAAATTGCAAATACAAAAGACAGTCATCAACTTCCAGTTATCCAGGCTGTAGGTACCTACTCAGGCACGTTTATTCCAATGTTCTGTGATTCCAGCATGTTCCTACTGAACATATGCTGTTCATGTGAAGACCTACTGTGCCAACTCCTGATAAAAGTGCCCCTGCCCTCAGTAAAAATCTGTTCAGAGATTTTTGGAAAATGTTGCTCATTTATTAAGAAGATTATTTATGTTTTATTTGTATACATATCCTAGCTTTCTTTTATTCAGTGTATCCTTCCATTTCTGGCTGTATTTCAGAGGAATTAGAACTAATAAAAAAGCCGTACCTGTTTTCTTGAGTGACTCCTGGATATACATGTGCATGAATTCAATGCCAAACATTTCCTGTTGCTCCTCCTCTTCTGTATTCTCACATGGAGGGAGTGTTACCTCTAACTCCAGTGGGTTGTCTCTGAAGTTGACAAATCTGACAGTTCACCAGAAAAGGTTACTCCAGAGAGAACAACTCTCTTGAAACTGAATTAAGATTCCTCAAGTAGTATTTTGAGCAAAATAAATATTTTCTTATACTAAACCTACCACTATATTAGTAGTATTAAGTAAACTAAGCTAAGAAGATGCCTTACAATAACAGCTGATTGTGTTGGGAGAAAACATTGCAGACCTCATCATTTTGTCTTCAGGTTTTTACCCCATCATCAGCCTTATTGAGCTTCCACAAAGAGATGAGTGGATGAGAACAAGAGCGCAAATGCCTGCATCCTTGCAACTTTGCAAGGCAACAGCTCACTCCGTCTCCCTCTGTTCTTGGTCCAGCCCTAGGCCTATGCTTGTATACATTTGCTTAAGGAGGTGCTGTTTCTTGCAAAACATCTGAAAACAGGAATTGTCTTACTGCGCTAGATGTGATTTATTTAGACTAGCATTACTTCTCTAAAATGGCCAGCATCTAGTAATTTAAATGAAAAAGCAAACAACAGGAAACTTTCTGTCACCATATACAAAATAATATTTCAAATTCTACCAATTAAAAATATACATTCATTGTTTTGTACTTTTCAAATCAAGTACAGGGGAGTTTCATCCATATCCTTTTACCTAATCCTATTTGTTTAATTCTGAATGCTTGACTTCCCAGTGCCAAAGTTCTACTTTTTGTCATTTTTATGCTTGTCACATTTTTTCCTCCTAGCTCTTGGCTTTAGAGTGTGATCTAAAAGGCCAATTAGAAGTGGGCATTTGGGCCTTTCAAAAATAAGAAAGTGTGTTATAGTCTCCTTTTTTCATGTGGGACTGTAACTGTCATAGCTTACTTCTTTAAATAAGTTGTGCTATACAAAGCTTTCTTGACCAGATCCTCAACTGTTGTGAATCTGTGTAATTATGCTGATTTATATTGTATTGTGTCCACCTGTACAACTGTGGGCATGCCTTTTCCCCCCCCCCTCCACTTCCTTAGTATCGCTCTATGATATACAACTCAAGGGAGGTTTTAAAATGTATCTGCTAGTATTTTTATTGGTATTTCTTGCTTTTTCTTACCTCAGATTTGTCATGTCCTTCATACAAGCTGGAATATCCTTAAGTTTGTTGTTGCTAAGAACAAGAGTACTAAGATTTTTCATATTACCAATGGTTTCTGGCAAAGAGCTTATCTCATTCCTTTGGAGCCATAAAGTGTGGAGATTTCCCATTCTGTAAAATAGGTATTTGTGCAATCAATCAAGATTTAGAAAATTAATCTTATCAATCATTAATATAAAGTAATCGATTCATTTTACAGCCACATAAAGGACTCGCGTAAAGAATACAACTGTCAAAGAAAACCCCATATCCAAGATAATCACCTAACCTCTAGTCAAAAATGTCATTGGCAAGAAATATTTAACTTGATACTGAATTTATTTTTTAGTGAATGGATTATTCCAGCTCATCCAAAATATCACATTAGGAGTGATAAATCTAAAGTTTGCAGTGAGGTTAACATCATTAAAATAATCTTTTGAAGTAAGATTTAATAATTAGAATTTCAATGCAATGGAATTGAGACTAAGATGTGAACTTTGAGCTTTATTTACCTGTCAATTGCATCAGGAAGCTCCTGGAGTTTATTTCCCCCCATATCTAGCCATTCTAGATTTGGCATGTCGAGAAGAGCTGAAGGGATGGTAGTAAACTGATTCATGCACAAATCTATGTGTGAAAGCTTCTTTAAATCACTGAGCTGAAAAGAAAGGAAAATTTAATGCAAGTTTGTATAGCTGTTCCATTACAGCAGTGCTGTAATAACACTGGTTGAAAAAAAGAAACTATTTAAAGACAGTACAACGCATTTTGGAGTTAGTAAACACAGCAAGGTTTCTGAGTGACATTAGCTGATACTACCTAACAACTGCAGTTCTCACCTGGAAGGTAGGTAGGTTTGAAACTGATCAGGCAGAAGAACTTTGTCTCCCACCTGGTAGTGAATGCCCTAACTGCTGAGAAGCTGAATGCCATGACTACACCACAGATGATAGACCCCCAAGCCTTGAGATGAAGAGGAATTTTAAAGAAACCATTGTCCTTAGTATTTCATACTCAGTGGTGTTTCTCCATGCAATATGCCATTTTTCTTCAGTCAACATTTTTATTTTTATGGATCAAATTGCATGGACTGTATTTTAGAGTGAAGTCTACTGCTATGGCAAGACATTCTAAAAATTAAACACAGCATCATTCAGTATTGCAACACCTAAGTCCTTTGGTGAATCATGCCTTCAGGTGCTTTTACAATGTTCAAGTGATGCAAAGATGTTTTATTGCAAATCTGGTCCAACTGTCTAAGCACTGAATGGAACTCAAGTACATATAACCAAAGCTTCATGGTTGATCACATCACCATAGTCTCAATAGGACAGAACTATGTATTTACTATGAGTTGTTAATTTAAAAGCTATCACTCTGCATTACACCATGTAACCTGTATCCACATACATTTTGTAAATGCTGGATGCTGATTAATAATATATATTTTCATTCGAAGATTTGTTGTTAGTTATTACTCTTTGGACTCACTCAATTTTGCAAGGCACCAATTGCTGTCAACTATTGCCACTACTGTTTTTTAAAATAAATTAAAACAAGTAACAGCTACATACTTATCATCTCTAAGAGACTAATACTTAGAGATGCAGGTCTCATTCACATTTAGGTCAGTCCAAATTAAAGCTCAATAGTAGGTGAGCAGTTGGTTTTAGTCTCTCTTAATTGCTTTCAACATTCATTCAAGTCTTTGTGCATAGACAGTTGTGTAAATCACACAAACAGCTCTGGTAAAGATGCTTAGAGTTGTGTCCTGGCATATGGTATGAATTGGTATTCTCAACCCTAAAAGGGAACTTGTCTGTGCTAAGGTGTAGGATCCTCAGTGGGGTAAATCAGTGAAGACCTTCAGCCTAAATAAATTAACATCAAGTGTATCACTGTCCTACACGCTCTACCAAGACATTTGTCTGGACAAAATAAAGATTGGCTCCTTCAGCTACTCAGGTATATGTATGTCCTCCTCATGTGGCTTCAGTTTGACTAGTCCTGTAAATACTGCTCACATACGCGTTTCTGCAGAGTAGTTGTGGAATCAGAGTATCAAAGCAATTCTGAAGACATGGAGTTCAACGTTTACTGATAATTGGGTTTGGATAAATTCAAAATATGCATTAATCAAAACTAAACAAAATGAAACAGCCTGTCAAAACCTGAGGAGGAAGATCACAGATACTCCTGTTGACAGCCAGTTCCAATCTTTCCAGACTGACGCAGTTACTTATTTCCATAGGAACAGACTTTATTCTATTGTAACTGAGAAGCAGCTCTTGGAGGCTAGTCAGCTGGCCTGTGGAGAGCACAAATGAGAAATGATAAACGTTCGCATTCATTCTATTTGAAATACAATATTACTTGGTTTGTGTTATCTTTATACTGTTACACAAGTGCTCTGTGTTCTCACTAAAAAAAAAAAAAAAAATTTACTGAAATTTGAATAGTAGGACTTCAGGACTCTAGTACAGAGCTGCACTGTAGTTGAATGCTACAAAAAAACCCGCAAAACCTCAAAAATCCCCAACTTATGAACATAGGATACTCGTGCTGTGGACTCAGAACACGAAGCCTGTTTTTCAATATCACTTTTCTAGCTGCGTTCTGATGTCTAGTATCTGCTGTGCTTACAAGCTTTTTTCTCATGGGGAGCTTTCATAAAGATATGTCTCCCCCATCCAGCCATTTTTTTTTTTTGTAATTTATAGGGACTCCATGGTTTTAAGATCTCTATCTCACTGTCAGATTTAAATTATCTGTTTTAGAGCTACCCAACAGGACAGGCAAAGTGCACAAAATGGCATGTCTATGTAAGATTAATTTTCTTAGAAAAGCAGCTTAAAATAAAAGAAAGCACAGCTCACCAATTTCTTTAGGTACACTTTCAATTGAGTTCCGGGATAGATCCAGAACAACAAGACTGCGAAATCTTCCAATGAACTGAGGAATTTTCTGCAAACTAGTTCTATGAAGCTGCCATTCCTGGAGATGAACTAGTTTCAATAAGCACGAAGGTAGTGTCTGAGACAAGAAATATGAAGCAGAAGAAATTAAGCTTAGTATACAACAAGAATACAGGCTTAGGTAGAAGTTTTATTTGAAATGGTAATAGTCTTGTGATTAAAAAAAAAAAAAAAGAAAAAAGAAATCTTTCCTTCTTCTCAAGCTATACTGTAACATCCCAAAATGAACACCATCAGTGTGGGTCATTCTGACCACAGATTTAACCTTTCCACTTTTTGCTCCCAGGATTTAGATATCTGCAGCACTGTCAATGCTTGAAAAGCCTCAGGCTTGCTTTTGGTTGGTTGGGTTTTTTTTAAACAAAGCCAATATAACTGAAGATGAAACTGCTCTAAATAGCTTTTTCCATTTAAATGGTGATCTAAATTTTATTTCCTATTCTGTTAAGAAAAACAGTGAGTAGCTGAGAGCAGAAGAGCCAAGGGATAGAAAAACTACAATGTCTGTATGCTACGAGTTCTGAACAAGGATCACTAGCCTATGGCCCACCAGAGTATTGCTGGGTGTGGCTGTCACACTCTCACTAGCCTCAACATGGTCTAATTCTCATCACTTCAGAGGAACTGGCATCTGCATTTCTGTGTGGCTCAGAACAGACTATTAGCTTCCAGCCTGTTGTTGATTCTACAGTTAGCCACTTCCCCCCCATGAATTAGAAACAAGAATAGCAGCATTCTGGGAACCTACTGGCTCATTTTCACTCTTAGAAAGAAAGTAAACAGTAAGAAATATTTTCATGCACCTAAACACCAAGCGTTTTCACCTTGATACATTTCACTAGTGCTAGTGTGTTAATGTTAAATGAGGATTTACAAAATTAAACTCATAATTTGCAGTGTAAAAGATTTATAATGCAGAAAAGCCTCTTGGGCTATACTTCTGCAGAGCAATTAATGTTCAAGACTAAAAAAATCAGCTTGGTTTTACACTCTCACAACAGTGTGTCTCACTTCATTGTTAGCAATGTGCACAGTGAGCACTTCATAGATTAAAAATAGTACAACTGTGAATATAAAGTTGTAAATAGTAGTTTTCTAATGCATCAGTCATTCAACCCAAGCAACAATCATTCCTATCAACACTACCTTCCATTCTTCTTCCTCTATCCTTAAAATTGCTCTTCCTTCTTCATTAATAACTTTTTCTTTGAGCTTTGCTAAAGCAGCTCTCTCCTCCCAGACAAGTAGTAGCCTACAAAGGAAAGAAGATCTGCCAGTGCTACAGCAATGAATATAGGCAATAATTACTATCTATCTGCTCTATTTTCTGGAACAAAGAAATAGTAGCCTTTTTGGATGTCAAACAACATTTACTATATCTGGATGCTAAATATACTATAAAATTGAGGGAAGACAAGAAGTAATGTTTGGCTGAGGTAGTTCTATTTTACAGTTCTTCAAATTTACAGTCAGAGGAAGTCATAACTTCATTCACTTTCATCATGTTTCAGCAGGCCAACAGAATATAAAGTTCCAACAGAATTAAGTTCCAAAGCCATTAATTTTGCAGCAGTCCTCTAAAAAAAAAGCCTTCATTTCTACCAAATATAAGTGCAATCAAACAAGGTCAATCAGCTAGGGATTCTTTTAGCTTGATTTCCAAAGGGGACTTAAACAACAATTATGAAAATTAGGCTAATTCTCTTTCTTTCTGCTTGTATTTTCCATTAGTAAATTTTGAATTTGTTACTCCATTTCAAACACATCTGACAAATTAGGAAGAGTTCCAAAAATACAATGCTAAATTTCTTCACATTTCATGAAATTGCTGGCCAGACAGAAGACCAAGCAACCCTGTTAATGCCTCCATTGAGAAGAAAGCGTAACACATTAAATCTCCACTGGTTAGAATATCCTCTTAGAAGATAATTTTAATATCTGGATTTAGTATATATGCTAATATTTTTAGCACAGAACACAATTCGTGGTTTCACCTGACAATATTGGTGGATTCTAACAGGTGGGAATTCTGCTGGAGTAATGACTAAAGACTTTGACTCTGGATGAGTTTCAGAAGACTATAATTGGTCTTATCAAAAGTAACATGTGGTGTAGCTTTTCACATATTTAAAGATCTACAATCTACCTACCTTCCTGCAGACCTCTGTCTGAATTCCTTTTCTTTCTGTAATTCTTCATTTATCTTGTGTATTCTCACTTCCCAAAGTGTCTTCACAGCAGTGAATGTTCCAACGCAAACTGCAGTTTCAGTCATGATCCTTACATGTTCAGATTCAGTCACAAGAATCTGACTGTGAATTTCAGGCTCAATGCATCAGCGCATGTATCAGCTACTGGATGGGGACAGTGATGTGAAAACTAAAATACTGCAATACCCACTTGATTATATTATTAAATTTAGGTAATGTAGACAACTGACAGAATTTTACCAACTGCTTTATCTTTATAAAAATAGATAATTGCACCTAGTTAAATTTTCTTATAATAAGAAATGGTATCCTTGCAATGTCTCTGCATTCGTAGTGAACAACTGCTTCTCTCAGTTCCTTCCAATGGTAGGCTGAGTACTGACCATAATTACTCAATGCAGATAGGAGCATTCATTCCCTTCCCAGGAAGAAATTAAGCTGTTATCTGGAATTTAAGGCAGTTAAATCCTGGTAGCTGCATCCTGGCAGCTACCTGGTATAAATACTTGTAACTAAGGAAGTTTTGCACTTTAGAGAAACTCAACTGTTGCTGGAAATAAATTAGAACACTTTATTTGCATTCAGTTTCTTCATAGTTTAACTCATTATAATATATTTTATAGTTAGTAATGCATTACCTTTAAGAAAAAGTATTTTAAATTCTTCAGATCTCTCTCTGAACCTTCTTGTAGCCCTGCTGAGTGAGAGGATCCACATTAAAAAAAAAAAAAAATCAGCCTAAAGTTTTGAAGTCATCTATTCCTTAGCGAGATAATTAATATATATTTTCCTGAAGAGCAGTAAAGTAGGATACTCAGTCATCATAATCAGTGCATCCCTCTAAAAAGCATTCTTATTGCCATTATTGTAGCAATTTGGGAAAGAGGTTTTTTTGAAATAAACTGGAGCCAAGATACTGATATTCAGATAAGCTTGGAGGGCTAAACTTCATGCCAACAGCAATGTACTCCTAACACTGATGACCTGAATGCTCTCTTTCAAACTTTATACTAACACTTGCAGGGACAAGTAAGAAAAATGCCTTACATATCCATTCACACTGAAAAAGTAAGGATAACTTTCTTCCAAACAGGCAGGTAGATAACGATAAAAGTGGAATTTCAGGTCTTTTGATACATATATTTCCCTAAAATAATTGTTGCAGGTCTGTCTTTTACAACAATCTTTTCTGTCTTATTTATTCCACTATAATTTTGTATGGCATGGATAAGACACAATTGCTTAGTGAACATTTTTGTGTTCAAACTGTCAATCATTCTATTTTATGTTTACCATGTGTTTGCTAACACTGTTATTTGTAAAGCCTGATTATAGTGAAATAACTTAATTAAAAACATATAGGCAAATAATAAGAAATATAAATATGATAGCATAAAAATAAAATTATAATGCTTAAATAAAGAAGAATCTGGTCCAATACATGAAGGATTCTTAACTGTTCTGTTTGTTAAGGAAAAATGGCAGGATTTGACAGGTGACACAAATGGCAACCACAGTGTGGCACAATACAGTCTGGCATTTGGGTTCCTAAAGAGGGATTGATTTTTTTTCCTCTAAAGAGAGGA